ATGGACTAAGACTAGTGACTCTCCAGAAACCTCTAGGCTTTTCATTATCAACTGACTGTTAAGGTCTCCAGCCTCATAGACTGGGCAGCTACCAGATTCTCAGCTTCTCCATAAGCAGATGGCCAGTAGCTGATTACTCAGCCTGTATTGTGTGTGCCATTCTATTTAATCCCCTTAGTAAAATTCTGTTCCTCTAGAGCACTCTGACGAATACACTACTGTGAAATACAGCATCTCATCTAGTACTCTGTCATCATGCCCGGCTCTACATACCACAGTATGTCAGACACTCAAGTACAGATACTAGTTTGGAGGATGTATTACTATTCTACACTTCAGAGTCCCATCCATCCCTAGAGGAAATAATGCAGGTTGAAAGACATATTCTCTTCTTCTCTATTAAGGAGTATTCTTTCATGATCCTATTAAGGAGTATTCTTTCATGATCCTATTAAGGAGTATTCTTTCATGATCAAGACAATCCTTGCTAACTTATGACATCAAGATTACACAAGAAGTAAGGACTCAAACAAAAAATTCACAAACAATTGCTGAGATGTTAAGAAAATATTCTCATTCTATTCTGTATGTCTATCTCTCTCTCTTTCAGCAGAAATAGGAATGTACCTAGTGTTACAGAGGCATCTGAATGGTTAACAAAAACAAAAACAAAAACAAAAACAAAAACAAAAACCAACTAAGTTCATCCTCCATTATGCCAATGTAACTGAGCAGCCCTGACAGAGGAAATCAAGTCTAGTTTCATCAAATGTAAGTAAGGGATCTGATGCAGGAAATGTGGAAGCAGAAACAGGACTCCTCTTCAGAGGTAAAGGTGGTGTTGACCCAGGCAACAAAGACTGTAGGAGAATCCAGCCCAAGGGCAAGATTATGGGCAAGCTCTACCCTTACATATCCATCTCAGAGATAGTGGAGTCACCTGGCCTGCCAAGTGCAGACCACCCCTGTCTTCTAATGCAATCTGTTAGACTGGAAATCAGGCCCACGAGTTCTCAGGACATTTGTATCAGCCCCTCTCTCCTAGAGAAATACACAAACAACTCTGTTTTTAAAGTCTAAGTGTCTGAGTAAAATCTCCATGAATACACTGAGGTCTAAATTATACCATGTGGCCTAGCTGGTCTGCATCCCTTTGACTCTCTGAAATAACAGTGAGATTAGTTAGAGTGGAGGGAGAAGGGAAAATTAAGAGAAAGAGGAAGGAAGAGGAGGGAGGGATGGACAGAAAGGACAAGAATGTGGGTGTGAAATAACCTGAAATCCTGACCTTCAGTCTGTTCGGAGACCCACGTGTTGATGTGTTTCCGGGACTCCTCTGCTGCTTTGAC